ACCAAGGTACGGTGTTGGGTGTTGATTGTGCTCCGTTTCGTCCCCGGGTAGCAGTATGTGAAAAAAGCCGGAACCTTTGCACAACCGGATTCCTTTTTTGTATGTCGTTTTCGTTTCTGTGGCTTTGCGACTAAGGAGGAGCTGTGTGGATACGCCGTTAGTGCGCTATCGCCCCCCCCCCGTGCTAAGTCGATCGGCACACGTGCTCCAGACCGTCGTTTCTGCGAAGGCTCCACTCGAAGTGGTGGCCAGCAACAGGCCTCGTGGCCATGCCCGAAGTCCTTGGTCTCTATGTTTCTGTCCCTCTCGCCGTGCCTGCGCTACTACTGTGGCACACATGTTGGCTGCTATTGTGCAGCGCTTGCGTGCCATATGTCTGATCCCGCCGTCATGGCAGCAGCCCGTCGCCTGGTCTCCTTCCGGTTGGCGTTGTAGGTTTCTAGCCCCCCGCCCGCCTGCCGGCGGCGGTCGCACACGGTGGTGTGTGTTCGTTGTGTTCAGCAACGGTGCTGAGGATCGATGACTTTTGGTTTCTTCTGGCCCTACACACCAATCTATTGATCATGCCGACGAATGAATAACGGTTGCACACGGCTAGTGGTGTTCGTTGTTAAGCTACGCATCGCAGGATCGATGACCACCGGACGTTTTGTGTCTTCGGGGGCTACAGTACTCACACATGCATGCTTGAGTATGCCGACGAAATGACCAATGGGACAAAACGGTCTACCTGGCTGTCGTTATGAAAAGAGAGAAGAGCAAGCAGAAGCGCTGACAATGCAAACAGCTCACACTCTTTTGCGGACATGGAAGATGAGTGATACACGTCGTCGGCACGAACAAGTTGAACCCCGTTGGGTAGCCCACTGAGCTGCTCGTGCTATGGGATGGATAAGAACGCTACAGAGGGGCCTGTCACCTGGAGAAAAATGTCCCTGTCGCGAAACACTTGTGGAGGTTTGTAGCGGGGGGCCTCTTGTGGCGGGCGTTCTTTCCAAGGAGGCGTGCGGAACCCCTGCAGGCGGCAACAGACAAGCATTGACTGAGGAAGCGAGAGACTATACAATATATCAGCCTGTTTTTTTGGCTCACTCACTGAAAAGACTGCAACACATTTCCTTCGACTGGTCTGGTGTTATCTCGCTCGAATGGGTAGTATTTTTTTCGGTATCGTTAATATCGCAGGCGCTACTGGTACTACTACTACTTCATTCACCGCTGCTGTTGTATCAATAACAAAGAAAGGCACGCACCGCAGATGGTGGAGAACGACGACGAAAAAAATCTGTGTGTAGTCTTCCTCCCCCCTAAGACCCGGGCTGATGCGTCCAGAGAACATTCCGCAAGGTGTCAAAGCTGACGCCCAGTATGAACGGGACGACGAACACTACTACAGAGATCAGCTATGCATGTTGTAGATCTAGCGAACAGATAGTAGTTCCGCAACACACAAAGCGTTCGGGGCTGGGCTCTCCATGCCACACGAGGAATACCAGCCTCGCCCACCCTCGGCACCAACATGGCTGCATGTCTCTCGGCACGATTTTTATTCGAACGACGGAAACCCCGTTGTTGGTGGGTGATGACTGACACTCGAGTATCTTACAATCAATACATACAAGTCTTCTTCACGTCTGGACTCTTTTAGCAGTCAGTGTAACGGGTTACGGGATGCTTCGATGGGCTACGAGTTTGTTTGAGATTTGTCTGAGTTTTCCGTTACCCCTGTGCGACGACGGAAATTTATGAGATACAGCCATGCACCATGCTCATTGACTACAAACAATACAATAGTCAACACTATAGTCAACCCACAGGGATACCACCTACTTGCCGGGGCGAGATCGCACGAACACATAGATTACACAAAAAATATATTGCCGTTCGGTACGAGCTCATCAACCTGCGCTCGACTCGACTCTCAGGACGCAGACTCTCACCGCTACGTGGGTGTGATGAGGGCCCCAACCCTTCGGGGGCTTCAACCGTGAGGCCAAAACGGCAGTTCGCGCCCGCTGAACGTCAAGGTTTCCCTCAAAATCAGCGAAATGCCGGTCTTGGAGCTCGCTGAATCTCATAGCCTGTTCGCGCTTATCCCGCGATTTCTCGATGATCTTCCTGTCTTCGGCCGCAGCCCATTTTGGCGTGGGAACCCGCTGGATCCGCAAAAGAGGAGGCAAAGCCCCGTTCTGGGCGGAGTATACGCGGAACAAGCGGTAGGCACGTGCTGTCAGCAGCACTCTCGAGAACAGAGCTACTGTACTCCCTGCAGAAAGGGAGTCAGTTGTTGATGATGTGGACGGGTGCAAAGCTGCCCCTGTACGATCGATTTTATGAAGGATACCGTTTAGCCGAGGGGGCCTGAACATCATGTCAAAGTCGAGGTGCACCCGCCTGAATGGTGGCAACGTTCTTGTGAGGTCCCTCACCGCCGGTAGATCCCAATTTTCCCGTTTGCTACATACGGGTTCGCGGGAGGGCTAACAGCAACGGACGGTCGTTGCGATTGATGGGCCGAAATTATTGGTTCGTGACAGGTTTCAAACACAATTTAAGAGCCAAAATTGTTGCCAAGTGACAGGTGTCAAGCACAAGCCCCGCGGGAAAGAGTTCAACCTGTAAGGCGGCTCTGTAGTAAAGCAAGGTATTCCCTTCATGCAACTCTATGGTGGTGCGTGCACCTTGTCTGAAGACATGGTGTACCCGGAAGCCAGGGGATTGAAACCGTCAATTGCCTGCGGCGAACTGTGCGAGTCGAACCATCGTCGGATCTCAGCCATTTGCCATACCTCGTTGTCCACAAGAGAGTGGCTGCGCACGGGTAGCTGGCCACAGGGACGGGTGGGGATATTACTTGCGACGAAAAAGTTGCCGATTGTCACGTTTTCCTTCAGTGGTTGTTTATCGTAGAAGGCGACAAGTTGGTGGCGTGTGTGCATGCTTGGTCTAATTCCTGTATCAATACCCGTACCATCCATGCTCCCACAGCTCATGCGAAACCGTGTTTCCACACTACACTGTACTACCCTATGTACAGCAGTCTGCTACATACTGCTGCTTACCACTCGTTGTACTGCTGTAGTACAGCAGCAAGCAAATGTCCTCAAAATTTTTATTGCGACACGAAACACGAAAACCTACGTTGCATAATAGACTTAGTAACCCTAACCCTAACCCTAACCCTAATCACACTTTATTGTTTTGTAATAGACTAAACATGCAAGTCTACGCACTGTCATACCTGCTTATCACTCATTCTGTTGTCCTGCTCGGAAGCCTTCAGGGCGTTGAAACCTGTTCTCCACGTTCTCACAAAGTTGCCGCTCAAGAAATCCTGCTTTTCCCTCGCTAGCCGTCTTGCTGTTTTTTGTACCTGCGAGATCGTTGATTGTTGTGATACCATATTTAAACAAACGCACAAAGTCTACCGATGTCGTTGTGCAAGTGTTTGCAACAACATACGGCAGTAGACTATTAGTATTTCAATCGTGACAACAACAGACACAGCGCGCAGCACCTACATACGTCGGCGGGAATGTATGTGGCTTCATCTACTACGTCAAACAAATTCGTACTGTATGTAGACTACTACACCCACCCACGTTGTCACGAACGAGTCGGCTCGAGATGTTACCTGCTCCCTCTTCTCCAACACGCGAGCCTCCAGGGATAGAATGTTGCTTTTTTTGCGCCTCATTCGGCGCTGAAAGCGGGACGTATCCTCTTTCGTAGCATTGCCTCCACCCATTTACTTGCTCGGTCCACCTCTCATCGGCTGTGTAATGAGTCTTGCGTTCTCTCTCTCTGGTGTTTCTCTGTATTTTATGTCAGTCTCTCCCGTCGTCTCTCTGCCTGCCTATCTACTGCAGTATTACTCTCTCTCTCTCTGCTCTCTCTCTCTCTTTGTATGTGGCTATGGCCAATGTCTGTTTGTCTGCCAATTATTGGTCGCCGAGCGCGCCCGAGCGCCCGAACAGGGAACTACCTCACTACCTCCGCGTCGCAGTTGCACCGCGTCGCAGTTGCGCAACCAAATCGAGAGAGAAACGCATATTTGGAAACACGCATGTGCAACTCCCTCCCCGCTTTCCCCTTTCCCCCCTCCCCGACACGAGAGAACGCCTTCCTTAACGGCTTCTTTTTCTATACAGTAACCGATTTTCTTTTTTTCCGAACGAAAAAGTGGTTTAAATGGTTCCTTTTCCGCAGGTGTGTGGGATGCATGACAAGCTTTTTTCTCCGCAGGTCGTGTCCAAGCCATCAACACACATCACTACATTCTGGACAGAGAACCGGGGCCGTGAGAGGAGGCGTCAACACTGTCGTATGGCGACAATCGAACGAGCGACGGCTTCTTCAGCCGCCGCACTTGGCCGGCAGCACCACGCTCCAACGTGCCTCGGACCACCGCGAGCGCAGGAGAGTTGCCAGCCCCCGAACAAGCAGCAGCAGCAGCAGCAGCAGCAGCAGCAGTTCCGAGGTTGGCCACCGGGCTTCCCAATCAACAGCAGACCAGGGATGGCGCTGGCACTGACCAGCAGCAGCAGCAGGAGCACCTGCATGGCCGCGGGGATAAGTGACTGGTCCCCCCGACAAAGAGCCAAGGGCGCCGCGGGGGGGCCGGAAGCGGGGGCGGCATTGACCAGCCGGCTAAGGGAGGACATGGCATCGCTGCTGGAGGTGTGTGTACGTGACAACTAGCCGCGCGGGCATGATGCTTTTTTTTTGCACGTGGTGGATGGAACGTTTACCGTGAGTTGTTTTTTCTTGCAAAAAAAACAGCCACAGCAGCAGAGCCGGTCACGTGTGTCGTACCCCCCATCAGCCGTGCGAACGCGTTGTGGCCGGGTTCTGCCCGTCGACGCTCAACGACAACGCCGTGGTGGGAGGGCCTTGGTTCATTGCACGCGGCTACCTGGGTGAACGATTTGGTCCGTGGGGTGTACAAGTCCTCACGTCCCGGTCTGTTTTTGATTGGGTGCGCACACCTTAGTCGCTCACAACAACAGCAGCAGCGTTTTACAACATACCATGGTGTACCAGTATAGTATTAGTTGTTGCGCACTTTGCTGCTGAGTTTGGTTGTACCGACCGAAATAGGACAACTGCATCAACAAGAACCACACAAGATCATCATCACAAGACCCTTGCCAACAGCACTGCTGTCGATGGATTCCTCTATTCCGGTCTAAGATGCTCGCTTTTTCAGCAATCCTACCTACAAACCTGTGAGAGGAGGCTCTTCGTTAAAATTGTTTACTTGAAGGTGTTTGCGGAGATGGATGGAGAGCCCAACAACTTGCGCGTTTAAACATCACAAAATAACCACAACACTTGCAGGATATGGCTCTCCCCGTCCCCTATGTTCGCTCTGAAGCGCTTGTGTGCGTGCGTGTAGCTGGAGGTAGTCATTCGTGTTGCATGCATACCATCCGAGTGATCTCTCGTGTCGGGCAAAGTTTAGTTTCGTCAAGAAAACTAAGTACTTCCCGAGTAAAAAAACACTAGGGAGTTGTACATTTAACAGAGTACAGCAGACTACGTGTGTACATGAGACTTTTGTGAAGGTGAATCAATGGGCAAGTTATTTGTTTAGTCCTCTCTTTTTGTAAAGCAAAGCGCCCGTTGGACCACAGGTTCGTTCGGACGTTGACTGAGCAGAGACCGGAGCGGTTTTTAAATTGTGTGTGCAAACACCAAAATCAATCTTGTATGTGTACACAGCGGCGAGGGTTAAGATATCCCCTCTCGGGCACTGCTGTCCTGCCACACACACGCGACTGAGCGTTTTCAAGTTTGGATGTCGGGAGGAACGGCACGGCGATGTTGGCTAGTGTCTGACATCGGTTATTGTACAACTGCTGTTCCACTTTGAAATATCTTCCAGGCCCCGGAAAAATCTCCCCTGGTCCCGACGGCAGCAGTAGCTACAGCGGTAGCGCCCACGCAACTTCTAGTTTTGGCGGAGCCTGGAGTTCTTAGTCCTTTAGTCCTTGGGTTAGTTCTTAGTCCTTTAGTCCTTGTGGGCCATGCATATGCACACAAATTACAGCTTTTACTATTATACTAGGCTTTAGTGTAGGGGTGCTTGACCGAGCTCACAAATGGAGCTCGAGTGCTCCTATGCATATTTATATCTCTTGATTATTGCGGTGACTCCGAGGCTCAAAATTTAAACCGCAAGAGCGTTGATGCGCGGGGAACAACTGCTGAAGTTACATGCATAATTTATATCGCCAGAATCTGATCGGGAACGGGAAACGGTTTTTAATGCGACGACACCACCACCATCACCACCACCATCACCACCACCACCACCAACAACAACAACAACAACAACAACAACAACATTACATGAGAATAATCTCATTCAAACGCGATGCCTTGGAAGCGATGCCCGAACGAGCCTTTTGACTGCAAGCAAGTTCTTGACATACACCCGGCGTTTTCCCGATACATCGAGCGCGACAGAAATATGTAAATGCGTGCATGGGTAGAAAGAAGCCCCGCTCCTCGCCTGAGCAGATGAAGAGTCGAATCTCGGGAGAGCGGGGTTTGTTGTTCGTTGTCGAAACATGTTTGTTTTTACCCGACTGCACTTGCAGAGATTACATGTGCGGCAAAATACTGGCACATGAACGGTAAAGGAGTTCGTGGCATACGGTATGCGATGTTTGCAACAGCAGCAGGCACGAAGTTTAGTACCCAAGGGGCAGACGATGCGCGTCCCTCATTGTGAGATGATGAAACCTCTTGTGGCCACTCAGCGCTGAAAATCGGTCGCGGCGCTGCTGCTGCTGCTGCTGCTGCTGCTGCTGCCCCAAACCCCGACCTAACTTCGAATACGAAACCAGATGGGGCCGCCACGTCCTGGCCAGGAGCTTGCCCCCAAGAAGCAGAGGGAGCGGTTTCAGCACGCGTTGGCGGTGCTTGCGAAGGTCCGGCGGGGACCCCAGCTCGAGGAGGCGCTCCTGCTGGCATGCACCACGGTCGATAGACACCTCGTTCGGTGAGTCCATCGGTGGATCGGTGGTGCTAGATGGAAGGGCAGTATCTAGTCGAAGCAGAGGTCGAAGGTGTTTGGGGCTGGCTACGGATCGATTACAGAGGCGTTGTTTTCGTTGCTTTGTGTCATCGGTCACACTCAACACACACAGCATTTTCCCCCGCGTAGAACCGTTCCTCCGTGGTCACACGGAAGGGTTGTTGATCTCCCTGAGCCTCCCTACCCTCCTGCCTCGGAACCTGAGTTTTGTGGGGAGCGGAAGATAAACCGATTGGCCTATCAGAGAGCAGCAGTATGGAGTATCGAAAGGGAGACAGACGTTGTCGTGGGTGCACTTTTTGGTCTGTCCCAATTAAGCACAAGAGCGTCAAGTCTGCTTGCAGCCAAGAGGTAATTCGGAGATCTATCAATTTGAGAGGGAGTTTTTTTCGGGGCCCAGGGTGCGTGTAACCGGAGAGGAATTGGTATCACATGTGTCGCCCTCGGTACCAAAACTACGAGTGTACGTTTTTGGCCCGCGCGACCGTTTGAAGGTGGGTGGAAAACGAGGTCTAGGTACGTGTCCACCACAAGAGGCCCAAGAGACACGATATTTTTTGTGGTAGGGCACGTGGCTGCTGTGTATGGGTTCAGAGACGTCGGCATATGTTGCTGAAGAGCTGAAGAGGCGTCGAGAGGAAATATCGCCGACTGTTTGGGTGGAGAATGTGGGCGTGGTGTTCTGGCTACGGACTTACCAAGCCCTAGCGCTAGCTGACGTGGCTTGTACTGCCGGTGACCGGGATCAAAGGGTCCACCCGTAGCGCTAGCAGCGGCTCTGGCTGACCCTTGGACTTCCGGAGGACCGCTTTAGTGAGAAGGTTAACTTTTTGAGGAAATAGAACACGGAGGGGGCACGCAGACCGTATTCCTAACCCTAACCCCAACCGATGGCATGCTTTGTGCAACCCCACCAACATGTTTACTTCAACGAAAAACATGCGAAGGGTACTTACTGGTCACAGTCTTGACCTATTTCCGTGGAACGCCAGACTCTGGGCTTGTCTGGTTCAGGTCCACAGCCGTACTGTTGTAGCAGCAGTGAACACGCCCGCAATGCTGGGCCCAACCCCGCCTCCGGGCACCTACTGCTGCGGTGAATTTCTCACCTTCTCTTATTATGTGTATTTTTACGAGCTTCATGATAAACTTTTACGGGCGAGACACTGATTCATCATGTTCGCATTTTTTCTTTTATTCCCACCACGTGCATCTGAGTAGCACACAGCTATGTACCTCCCAGCTTATCCCTATGCTGACATCCTTGTTCCGCGGGGGGCTTACCAGGTTCGTTGGGGCGGAGTTGGAGGCTGCCGCGGCGTTGTTATCGATTCTGGCCACGGAGTCGTCAGCCCGGTGCGCCAAGGCAATGGCCGCGAAGGTGGCGTATGAAGCGGCACAGGTGGGCGGGGCGGGGGCGGGGTCTGGGCCCTCAAAGCACATGCAGCAGGAAGAAGAGGAGGAGGGGCGATTACCGCTGTCGGTTCTCGTGGCGGCGGTCAGGTCGCTGCGCACTCTGAGCGCTAGCGCGGTGGCAATAGAGAAGTCGGTCAGGATTTCCTCAGCGTGCTCTACCCCCCCCGGTGGTGGCGGCGGCAGGGGCCCTGTGTCTGCGAGAGTGGGCCCGGGGGGACCGTCGGCGTCGCGGCTGG